GATGGATGCAAGCATCAGTAGAAGGCTGAAAGATGCATCTCCAATCAATGGATGATGGATCTGCTAAGGTTAATGGTGTACCTTTTGCACAAAAGGTCAGCCAGTAAATTGGTACAGCAAGCTTGAACCCTTAGGTAACTGTTGACAAGCAGACCTGAGTTCGAATCTTGCTGCGACGAAGTAAGGGAAAATGAATCTGAGTTGCCTGCGCCTGGTCAGTTCGATGATGATGCCTCCAGGCGGTCGCCCAGAAAAAAAGAGAAAAAGAATGAAGCACCCGCTGACTGTTGATAAACAGACCTGAGCTGCCCCTTCTCGAAAAGAGTCTGGTCATGGTGGCCCAAACACTTGACCGACTTAGCCCTGAGTCCTCTGGAGTGGTCTGGAGAATGGATACTGTCTGGTATTCCCTCCAGATGCGAACGCAGCCAATGCACCGAGGCTGTATGTGGCGCAGGTTTTTCGAGCTGTCATCATGGGAGTTATTTGGGGCGACGGAAAGAACACGTTTTCCGGCAGGAATGCATCCCAGACAATGTGCTGAGGATAATGTCAAGACCCAGATCCGCCGTAACATCTGGGCAGACTGGTACAGGAAGGCAAGCAGAGGTGCCTCGCGCAAAGAAACAGAACGGTTTTGGAAGACCCGGGCCGCAGGAAGTTTGTTGGTACTGCATGGCCTTCATGGCAAGAAAGCCCAAACTGACTTCTTGGTTGAGGGGAAGGCCGTCTTAGGCCTTTTTTATTTTCTGTCGTGATGTTAGTGCTCCCCGTTAAACCACCAGTAACTCGCCCATATATCGGCGGCGGTGAAAAACAGAGCCACAACATTTCCAGTTGGATGAATCTGGAACAGCGCCGCCAGGCCCGTTTGGCCCAGTGTGTTGAGGCTCGTACCACAACGGTTCCACTTGGATGAATTTGGAACGGAGGAGCTGTGAGGCCCGTTTTGATCAACCAAGGGTGGTAGTGTTGCCCAAAAAAATGCACGTGGGAATGCACTTGGTCGAACCGAGGGTAGTGTTGCCAGAATGCACATGGGAAAGCACTTGGTCAAACCGAGCAACAGGAGGCTTGCACCTCTGAGACCGATTTGGGAGCTAAAAGTCCGAACGAATGAGGATAACGAACGATTATGTAGTGGCTGAACGGCATGATTCTCCAAGTCAGCGAGTAATGGCGTATACGGTCGTGACTTTCGGAGGTACTGGGCAGTCGAGAGTTTTACCCTTCCTTTTGCTTTTCCTTTTTTTTTTATTTTTGCATTTTCTTTGTCAAGTTGTTCCGTTTTTTTCTGGGGAGAAGTTTGTCTTGTGGAGTAAGGGATCCGATTTCCAGCCTAGCGGAAGGTGGGTGATGACCCCAGTATTGACTTTGTCGAGTCCATGCGTGTGAGGTCCCCAGCCCCCAGCCTCTTCGTTGATGTTTCATAAAATATAATTTCTCTCTCTCTCTCTCGCACACATGAGCGAGTCGGATGAATAATAAGATAGCTTTCAAAAACGTTGGGTTGGAAATTGGATAACTCTAGGTCTTGTGGGATCCAGTATCCTACGAGGATAGCCTTCCAATCCCAAGGCTAGTCTAGATCCGTTAGTTCTTGCCATGTGCAATCCGACCTGCGCCATGTTAGCGCTGAACCGGGGCATTGCATAAAAATGTGCTCAATGGTTTCTCTACATTTTTTCCTTGGGAAGGTGGACAAACTGCACCACAAGGAGGCTAAACCTCTCTTTTCCAAAGAAGAGTGGTCAATAATCCAATCATTTGTGGGGAGACAAGGATGTGCTATTTGCCACTGCAATGAGGTGAACTTAGATGGTCTTTGTCTTATATTTTTTTTTAAAATTATGTTCTCGAGTAGATTTATGTCTAAATTCAAGTGCCTAGACCATCTCTCTTGCAAAATTGCTGCAATGTCCACTTTTCGTCGTAGTAGTTTGTAAGCTGCTTTTATTCTGAGTGACTGTGGCTTGCCCTCCATGTTAGTTTGCCAAACCCACTTTGTCGGATTTATCGGAAGTTCTGTGATAGGAAGATCTGGATGAAAGACTCTCCATCCCTTTATAGCGGAGATAAGAAGGATTCTTAACTTTGTAGAGGTATGAGAAAGGAAAAAAACAAACTGGATCTGAAGGCAACCGAGCCAAAAAGTGATTTTCTGGTCATTTTGAACATGTTTATTAAAGAACCTTGTGGGAGATTGTGCACCACTTGACCCACCATCTCTTGACCATCTGGATGAAATCCCACCACCCAGTCTCCCTCTTTAAACTTAGACCCTTTTCTTAGTGTTCTTACTTAAGCCAAGGGTATAGAGAAAATAATCTGGTCTAGGTTCTGATTGAGATGGTGAGCATATCAGAGTGTATATCTCACTTGTTCCGCCGTCTTCCAGTCTTTCGAGGTTGGGGCCCGTAAGTCTTTAATTTTGCAAATTCCTTTTTTGACCCAGTGAGAACTGTTGTAGATGCAGCCATTTGCATCCGTGATCCATCGATTGCCAAAAAGTGGATGACGAAGTATAAAAGTGGATGACGAAGTATCTCCTCATATCGGTCAGGAAAAGGTTTGTTAGGTAACGGTAGGCGACACCAATATTTCATTAGTGTTACCCACAAATTGTCCAAAGTAAGATCACTTCTAGCTCTACCCCGATCCCCTTCTTCTCTAGAGTGCGTGTGAGCCTTTGGGATGAACCAGAACCGATCCTCAATCCGTGTGAGAGGGTGAATACTCTCATCAGACAAGGGGGCAAGCCTACGAATCTGTTCCAACATCATTCCCTGCCATGGTTTGTCAGTGGATAAGATCAATTTTTTAATCCATTGGAGCGTAGGATCCAAGATTCCCAGACCCCGCTTGTTTTTTGGTTGGATTACCGAAAGCTTAGCCACCCTTGGAATTACCTTGTCCACCTCGTGATTCCTTCTCCATAAGAATGTTGTGACTTGTCTTTGAAGGACTTTTGTTCGTGCCTGACCTATGGACTAGAGGGCTGATTTATACCAGATGGAAGCTAGGATCACATCTCTTCTCTAATACCCGAAAGGAAAAGGCGGGCCTCGCGTGACGGGCCCACGCGAGACTCCGCGAGCTGGGAGGCGGGGACAAAGCAGTGGTACCGCGGATGGGAGGAGGTCTGAAGTGGGCGGCGCGACCGTCGCGGGGTTGGGGCCGCAGCGGAGCGGAGGCCCAGAGGGAGGATAGCAGGCGGGGCGGGGAAACAGTGAGGTGTGCGCGCGGGGACATGCTTGTGGTACCTCGGTCGCGAGGAGGCGAGGTGGACGGTCGCAATCATCGCGGGGTTGGGGTTGAAGTCGCAGCGGAGGAGAGGCCCGTTGTGCGTGGCGGGCGGGTGGCAGGCGCGTAGGGGATTCTGCGCGTGCRAAAGTGGAAGCGGGCTGCGTGCGTGCGCGAAGGGCGGAGAAGTTCGAAGTGTCGACGACGGTCGGGGGCAGACCGGCGTGCTAGCAGGTAAGCGGGCGGGGAAGGCAGCTGTGCACGGGACGTGGGAGGGACGCGCATGCAAAAAGAGAAGCGGGGTGTGGGAGAGTTATCATCTCTCTCTCTCTCTCTCCCACACACACACACACACACACACACATGAACGATTCATTCTGATTTTGTTAAAAACGTGGCAGTGTATATTTCCACGTTTCAGCAGAAGATTCATTCCGTTTCTGCTCATCCTATCGATGGAATGTGTGTGTGTGTGTGTGTGTGTGTGTGTGTGTGTGTGAGAGAGAGAGAGAGAGAGAGAGAGAGAGAGAGAGAGAGAG